GTTACGAATATTAACGAAAAACGCTGCTTCGATACGTGTAGATAACGTACAATAAAGATACACGTCTCCGAGTACATACTTCAGCTTTCGTTTTTGAACGGAATCCAAAATAATACTGTGAATTACGGGAGACTACAACAAAAGAAAAAGAAAAAAAACAGAAACAAAAAGAAAAAGAAGAAAAAGCGGCCACGACCCGGTTCAGACCCTCGATTTTATTCCCGTCAGCGAGGCGAGCAGGTTTAACCCCCTTTTTTTCGGAACGTTAGCCTGTCGCTGAGAGAGAGAGAAGGAGAGATGGGGACCAACCGCAACGACACGTATTCATAAACGCGAAACTTTCGGCCGCCTCTGCAATCGGGATAAAAGCTTGGAAGATCGGCAAGTGATGTCACGTGGCGGAACGTGGATTATCAGGCTAGTGTTTAACCAAAATACCCATTACCGTAATACCGGCTGCATGAAATGGCAACTGGAAAACAGAATGGAGGACACGCGATCGCTGAGACGAGTAGAAAGAAAGAGAACTGGTGCGTATTACTTAGCGTTGATGAGAGCTTTTGATAATAGGAGAGAGATGGAAGAAAGAAGGAGGAACTAGGGAATTACGGTGTTTCTGATATTGACTAATTAATTGAAATTCCCCAGGCAAAGCCGCGAGATAGGAGGATCAGGGAGAAAAAAAAGTCTCTTTCCACGATACGAATCATTCAATTCTCTCCTCGTTCACCCTTTCTCTATTACGGGGACAAGAGTAAACGAGGGAAATGGCCGGGGTATTATTAAGTTTCAAGATAATCCTGTTTAGTCTCCGTAGGTTAACGTACGTATGTATCTATACAGCGTCTCTAAGAAAATGAAGCAGAAAATATTCTATATAGATGCTATCGGGGGTACGCGTTTACCTGGATAAACGTTATGAAAGATTTTTATTATACAGTTTTACCGTTCCCAATTTTCCACCAAGTTTGCACAAGTTAATTGTTTCACGGTACACGGTATGATAATAATACTAATTCAGGCGCGTTTAATCCTTCCTTAAACAGAATTTGCTTGATTAAATATTAACACTATATCCGTGGATCCCCCGTTTTTTTTTACTCCATTGTGCCAACCTCACAAACTCCCTTAATTAGCTACGCTAAAAATTAATTAACACATCCCGGCGTGTGACAAATCCGTCCCGGACAAATTTCACCGATTTTATTACAGAAAATCTCACAAAATCTACCGTACACGTTAATTCTCCGAATTACATCCGCGAGTAGTGGTATCAAAAAATCCATCCATCTATGTTACACTCGAGAGGAAATATTTGTTCTACGATATATATGGAGTTACATCGAAAAGTCGTACGTAATACGTCACCAGCAGTCCAGCAACGTTAAGAGCAAGATCTTTTCCAAGGGACACCCGTTACATGGACGTGAATGATGGATAACCAGTGTGGTACGTTGAAGAAGCTGCCGCAACAATGAATCATGGGACAAAGAAGCTCGTGGAAAATCGAACCGCATGTAGGTAAATTCCCGGTGCGCTTAAATACTTGTCCCTATTTCACCAGCGCATTCCCCGTGTCTCGTTGCTAGCAATATACTCGATTCCCTTTATGCTATCCAGCCTCTGGTAGCAACCACGTGCTGGTGGATACCGTATCTAACGTGTGTAATACCACGGGTTCAAGGTGTACGGGTCGGAGCACACACAGTTACATTTCACAGGCATCGATACGACGACGTGTCCCTGTGCTTCTTCCACCCTCCCTATTCGCCGGCGACATAAAAGAGATTTCATATAAAGGACAGCAATCTTGGAGGGATAAGTCGAAGCGTACATAGACTTCTTTCAGCTACGAAGACGTCGCATTCAATTAGAAAAAGGCGAGGGCTCTCGCAAAACTGCAAAAGACTTTTCCGCCGCTCGCGCGATGCACTAGCACCGATACGGCCCGTTTCATTATCTCATTCCTCCTCTTCTCTCTCTTCCTCTTCTTCCCACTCTTTTTCTCTCTCTCCTCTTCTCTTCACCTCTTTCCCAAAGCACGCAATGAAATTTTATACGAGCAGGCCACCGAGCACGTAGCGACAATAGAAGTAGCGTGCGAATTGTTCGACGGCGACCTTCCTATTGATTTCCACCTGCGTCGATTTAACTCGACCCACACCAACCCTCCCTCCGCGTCACCCTCTCTCACTCACTCTCTCCCGGTGTCTCTTTCCCCCTGACCTCTCTTGTTCATCCCCCTTTTTTCACCCCGTGGTGTGGCACACGGTGGACCCTCCGCAGCTCGGCCAGCCAATTATTGCGTAACGCGGCCGCTGTACGCGCGAAGAAAGACAAATAACGCGGCGATAACTCGAGAGGACCGAGTGGGGGTGAGAAAAGAAGGGACGGATATCCGGTGTCCCAGGGAGGGAAAACAGAGTTTTCTACGGTGATGGTGCTCGTGGTAATATTTTCCCAGGCGCACGCGAGGACAAACGAAACGACAGGCATCTTATGAGATTGGATGCTGCACAGTGAAGAAGAAGGAAGAGGAGGGAGAGCCTTCTACCAGCCGAACTTTTCGCTCTGATTTCTCGTTCCGCGGGAATAACGCCACCTTAATGGACCGCATTGTCAGCTTCCTCTACCTTTCCCCACTGATTTCTCGTAGCTGCAACTCGAACGAAGGGGAAGGAGGAATGTTTCTCTCTCTCTCTTTCTGTATCTCTTGATTTTCCTCTCACGTGTAAATTCCCGAGATCAGGTGAATCGTTATCGTTCAGGTGAATCACGTAACACTGTGTCGACGGTATTAATTCCACTAATTCTCGAGCTTTCCAACTAATTGCTCGCGACCCGCGTAATGTTTACCGGGAAAACGAAGCGTGCATATAGAGAGCAAGTCAAAAGTTTCGAATACCCCTTGTCAGCCTCTGGCGATGGTAAATTCGCCGTCGATTCGCCTTGAAAACGATCGTCTTTAAAAAGTGTAATTATTTATTTATCAAGTGGTTCGGTGTATATATATGTATATGTATATAATAAACGGTTCACGGTAATTAACTAATTTCTTTTCTAAAGTCTGGCTCTCTTGCTTTTCTAACAATGTCAGGGGATTCGAAAGTTTCGACTGACAGTGGAGAAACTTACGCGATGAAGTTTAATTCCCTGCTCTGCGATTTGTTTTTCACCGTAATATACAGGATGTGACAAGTTTTAATTGGAAGGACTCCACGTTGAAGTGGGTACGTTTTTTTCCCCCTTTTTTTTTAAACGAATTAAATCCGGGAATTATTTCCTGAAGAATCGCGAAACAGAATTCCTCCGAATATACCATTCGGAACGTGAATATTCGCTGTTCGAGAGTGTAAAACGAAACACCTTAAAATATCCTTAGGTAATTGATCGAATCGAATCAGAATTGACGTTAGAACGAAAGTGTATATTTCACCCGGAGTTAAACTCATTTTTATCGTATTTAGACCATAAACTTCACAATAAGCACGCCTCAATGTAGCAAGGCGAAGGGTTAATGGAACGTTGCACTGTACTCTTCTCCCCGATACTCAACTTTTTGATCGCTTCCGCCTGTATTTATGGATACGCGAATCCCGGATGCTTATGCATTATGGAATTTCGTTATGAACCATTAATTCGACCGGAAGCATGCCCGTTTTCCCTCCTATTTCCACCTCATCCACGTTTCATTTTCTTTCTTTTTTTTTTACCACGCTGTTTTTATTGTCCGTTCAACGACGATAAAACCTATTCACGATCGTTTCCCTTCGCGCAGTTAAATTCCCTTAACCTTTTACACGACTTACTTGCGTTACTACTCCTCGTGGAAAATCCTTGCTTGAAATAGACAAATGCCGGACGAGAGTTAAAGTTCGTCCGGGATTAGTTGAAAACTGCGTTGATTTCTTCGTGTCTCGAAGAAGTCTCGGTTTATTGGTAAACTGAGGCTAACAAAGGCGGGAGAGACTTCGTCTAACGAAGAGAAAACGTAAACATTTTATTTCGTAACTCTGCAACTTGTCCGGCTCAAACGAGAAAGGCTGAAATTTTTCCTCGAGTCTCTATCCCAGGTACTTCTTTTTTCTCCTCTATTTTCCTCCGACCTTCCTTTTTCCCCTCTTTCGTTCAACACTTTTCTCTTCGCTCGACGAAAATTTCATTAGGGCAATCACACGATATCCACCGCCGTTCCCTATTTCATAACGTTCGTACAAATTCCCCGAAGAAGGGTAATAAAATATCCAAGAACATCTGCTATTCGTTCCGCGGGATATAATGAAAGCTATTAGCATGTTATCTGGCTGGTGCCCCGCGAACGCTTTCGTTCCTCCGCTTAACAATGCAACCGAGGGAGGTGGTAGCAGAGGGACACGGAAGGGTGAAACACGGTTGGAAAAGTTAAAAAATCCCGTGTCTCTCAGCTCTTCAGATTTTAATTCCATTTCATCCGGCTCGTGGTCCGCGAATGAAACCCTCCGGTTAGAGGTCTCCACGACTGTCCTTATTTCAATTAAAAAAAGAAAAGAAAAGAAAGTATCTCTTCCTTTCGGCTCGCGTAATCCGTGTTATAAAGCTCAATTTGGCCTCGTTCATAAACGTAATAGCCTCGCGAATTAAAAGGATCTACGGATACAGATACGGACATATACATGTATATAAAAGAAGAAAAAAGAGACACACTTGAAACCCTAAACGAGAAACGTTTAATTCCTCTCGGAGAATCGTTCGACAAATGATTCTATACTCTTTCAACGTTTCTTCCTTTATCACGAAAAGCTATGTCATCCTTCTTCTTTAAACCGTCGCTACCTACGGTCCCACTGTTTTTCTTCCTCGATTCCCCTAAAGACTAACCCGACGTTCAGCTCTTACGTTGATATGATAATAAGTTTGGTACGCTCGTGGGAAAGGAAATCGCCTCGAACCAGCCGGAGCTTCCGCAGGGTTAATGCTTTTTCGAAAAGTTTTTGAAGAATGTTCCCAGACGTGAATCTCACCATTCCATCCCCGAGATTATGGACGACGCAGGGCAGCAAAGCCGTGGATCCAGATTGGGCGGAGATCACCGTGGAATTTTCAGTACCGAAGCTCATCGGTAGAGTAGGAGGCGGCAGGTCGATGTCCAACGGCTTGATGCTCGCCTCCAACGAATTCCCGTTCGCAGCCACGATTTCCGCCGTGACCGCCGTCGGGTACTCTGAAAAATAGCCATTAAATCAAAGCGATCGTTTCGTGGCCTGTCTAGAAAGATGGAGGGGGTTTTAAGCGTGCCTCGAGAACGGCGAGAACGCTTCTACCTACAGAAGGATCCCCTCTCGTTAAGAGGCTTTCCTCGGGACTTTACTTAACCCCTTTTCAACCCGTTTCGCCTATCGACCCCCTCAAGTATTTATGCGCATCTCGAGCAACACCCGCCCCGTTTGCAAAGATTTGTCCAGGCTCGAACGATTGTTCTTTTCCGCTCGTGTTTATTTGACAACAGACAGATCGATAGGCGTCGAACAGGGAAAACTAGAGGGTGAAATCTACAAACGACGTCGACGCCTATCGAGATTTCTTTGTCAATTATTCGCCAAGCAGTTGCTCCAAATGGCTGTTGTGTTTTAAGAAGGCAGACACGCGTTTCAGTTCTCCGAAGATTCAACCGGCGCGTTGAGAAGTCGAGATAGATAAATCCGTGAAAGGAACGTTGTTAAATTTATCGAAATTAAAAAAGAAAAAAAAAATTACTGAAATTGCAGAAATGGAACACAATTGCAAATATTGGAAAAGTTGCGAAATTGGCAAAATTGCAGATTGCTAAAGTGGAGTTAATCAATTTAGCTTCCGAACGGTTCGATCAATTTTGTTTCCTAACTGGTGTGTTCTCTTTACGAGGTGGAAAAGATAGACGAGTTAGGTTTCCCGCTGCAACAATACTTATTGTTTCCTTTTCGCGACAAGAGGGTGACAAATTGATCTAAGAGGGACATAGATCATTCCTATACGCAATTATCCATAGAACGTGGAATCTGAACGTGGGAATGTCGAAGCTGGCAACATCGATCTATCTCCCATGCACCGTGCTTGTAGTTTTAACGCGTTCCCTATTATCTCTGTGTCTGTCGGGTGATCGAACTATGAAATAAAACAAATGTTGATAAACGAGCCTGGTAAGTGGAGGTAAAATTTTTCGAACAACGATCGATCCACCTCGAAGTATAATGTCCACGATGCACAAGACAAACGCATTAATCATTCTTCGTTGATAAAAAGAGGAAGACTATTCTTCGGGGTACACGTTGTTACAGTTAAATTTCTCATACATGGAGAACATGATCACCGAATTATTTATACGATAATTTAAAGTTCTCTATCCCGCAGAGTACAAGGAGGAGCAGGATGAGAAGTGGAGAACCTCGACTACTTGCTGTTGCTCGAGCAAAGTTTAGGAAACTTCATCTCCTCGAAAAGAAAACATCCTCTTGTCAGGGACGACGCTTCTTCAGTTATGCTAGTGGAACGTTCACGGTTTTCATACCGTGCGCAGACTGGTATATTATCCAAAAAGATTAAATAGAAAGTCTGTGGGAAAGTTTTGCGTGTATATTAATTAGATTCACCGTGTCTTTATGCGTAGAAAAGAACCAACAACCCTCACTCTCTCTCTCTCTATGCACGCTCTCGTGAACCTTCAACATTCACGTTTCGTAAGGCAAATTTTTATAACCCAGCTTGCGTAAGGGTGAATTAAGAATTGCAACTTTAATAAGACGTCTATGTATGTATGTATACATATGTACATGTATATGTATGCACATACATATATAAAATCAGAGAGCAGGTGGAATACACGCGAGTACGTCATTTAAATTCTGTCTGCTTGATCGTACGTGGATTTAACGTTGGTCCAGCTGGGTTGGCGTGCAATTGCGCGAGATATGCGAGGAAAATCATAAGCTCGAGGTTAAAAGGACTGGACCTGGACGAATAGTTAACTATTCTGCCGCGAGAAAAGTCGGATTTCTCTGGTCGGAAGTCCACCGGTTGAAATGAAAAAAAGTTAGCAACGAAGCACGGTCAGCAGCAGAGACGACGAAGAATTTCTCAACAAAGTATGGTTTAACGAATACAGCGACGAAGCTTTTTCAATCTTTCCCTCAATTTTTTTTTTTTGCTTCTTTCTCTCTCTCTCTGCACTTCGCGAACTATTATTCAATGAAACGTTAAATTTAAGCGTCGAGAATCCCATTCTCGATCTAACTTTCGATCCCCTTGAGTAAATATAACGTATATACGTGTATATATATGTACTCGCAAGTAACAGAACGGGGGACCAGTAAAAACAAATAACGAAAGTTGCAAAAGGCTAACCGGGAAAGTTTCATTATTTTCGAACGAGACCGTGGCAAGAATTTCTATTAAAATAATAAGAACTTAAACGAGCCCAACGCTGTTATGAAACGTACGCCGCTATGAGAGTAATTCAAGGAGAGGTAAAGGATTCCACCACGCGCGACGCTTCTTGCTGGAAAATTTCTCTTCCTTTCGTTCGTTCCTTCTCTTGATCTTTTGTTTTTTTTCCCCTAGTCTCTGTTCATCGAGCAACGAAGGAACAAGAGAGGCAAGCGGCCCTCCTTTGTGCTAGAGAGAAAGGAGAACGTTAGCTGCTCTTCTTCCTCGTTCTTTTGCAATGTAATCTAATTAATGAATCGCACTACTCTCTCTCTCTCTCTCCCTCACACTCTTCCATTTTCCCTTCTACGAACGAGGCAATCAACATTTTAAAAGCCAAGCTAAGGCTGTACAGACAAGAGGGACACTGTTGCTGCGTTTTACGCGACGTAAATCGATTTTTCCCAGCATCACAAAGCCCGTAATCATTCTGACCGGTGCGTAGTTAAACGAAAATCAACCCTTTCTTTGTAACACCGTGAAGGGAAGAGAAAAATACAAGAGGGGGGTGCTTAGGTAATTCCGTGACAGGAATAATCGGCTGTAAGGTGTCGTTATTACTGAAAACTTTGAAAATGAGATACTCCAGAGAGCTTAAGGAACAGCAATATTCGTAAATTCCCCCCCTGTGCTAAGCGTCTTTCAGAGCAATTTAACTATACCAACTTTAGCCGGAGGACCCCTGCTAAACTAGAAATAAAACAGTCGACCGATGTCGGGCTCGTTTGTTTTACTATAACTTCTCGCTACTGCACTTTCGCCTCCCTCTGTGCACATGCAACTTCGACTTTCCTCTTCTTCTCGCGTGTGTACGTACATACATGTGGCACTACTCTAAAATTTATTTCCAATGCCAGACGAAACGACCTCGTGAGATTGAACAGAGTGCTATGCTCGTTTCTTATCGAGGAGATGTGGCATTTTTAACATCGTTCGCATTCTAACAACCGGCTAAACCAAATACACCTCGTGTGTATTATCGAAACTCACGTAAATCCTGTATGTATCTGTGTATGTGTCATCGAGAATGAAAATTTCACTATTCGAAAGCAGTATACTGTTCACGACACATCTGTCTGTCGTGTAACACCAGCTATATAATAAGTATCGTAACTCCGAAATACGTAGCGCTGATAGAGACACGCGTCTACCTTCCAGGCATAAGCTCCATCGAGCAAGTCACGGAATACAGTATATTCTCCACAAGTGTCAGACCGCAAGGAAGCTAAACCTGACACTCGTAGAGTCAGAGACTACGTTTTCGAGCCTCGCGCACGCCTTTGTAGTTTGCCGAACGTAGACAAGGACGGCGAATTAAAGATAAGCATGAAACGTGTGTCGAAGCAACTACGCGATCAGTAAAATGTAGGGTCGGCCTACATCCACGTAAAAAAAAAAAATGTAGGCTCGATTCCACAAATGTCAGTAAAATGTAGGGTCGATTCCACTAGTGACAGTACAAGTGATACTGACCCTTTAAAGTTTACCTGTGTTTTTCTGAATTTCAAAAATTCAGGCAGAATTGTAAATATTATACTCTCTCGCAACGTAAATTTAAGTAAATTAGGTTGAACTGCACAGAAAAAACAAACGGACGCAGCATAACGTGTAGTTATAATTGCTATGACATGTAAATAGAACGATAAATTTACTGTAAATATAGAAAACGTATAATCTAATTTACTTTCATGGTATTGTAACAAGCAAACGTTGAATAAATTCTTAATTCGTATTAAAAAAATTATTTAACACAATAATTTCAGCTTTATTATGATTATTCTTGATAAATAACCACACGTCAACTTGATTTTTAGTCGTTATAATCTTTAAATTCAGTGTGAATAGAGAAAATGTGTAATATAATTCATTGACAAATTCATTAACAAACGTTGAATACATTTTAGATTCGTGTAAGAAGAATTATTTAACACGATAAATTTAGCTGTACTATGGTTATTTTTAATCTACGACCACAGGTCAACCTGATTTTTAATCCCTACGAAATTAATTTAACCACGAGTAAATAACGAGAACGCTAAAACCTATGTTTCCATTGAAGAATATTGTAAAAACGTATAAATTGTTATATGCAATGTTATAACAAATTGTCGGAAGTATAAATTTATAACAAAATTGTGAAAATTGATAAATTATACCGTGTTACGATAACAGAAATCTCCCGCGAAAATCTCCCGCGAAAATTTCCCGCCTGACCTAACCGACGATTTTGCTAATGACTTTGGGGAGAGGGTACCG